TCCACTATTATTATTATGCCAGTTATATTCTCTTCTTAATACAGTTCTTCAATGTTTGTTTAAATGTTGATTTTTATTCATATTTTTTTCCTTTTATTGTATATTTTTTTTAAACAATAAAACATAGTTTAAAAAGAATAAAAAGCTAGAATAAAAAATACATAAAAAGTACAACCCGCACCCGTAAATAAACCTAAAAAAAGTACGCAAACAACAAAACCCGCAGGGTTTTTTAAAGAATAATTTAGAAAAGAAGAAGAAAAACATAAAAAGAAGCAAAATTATATCAATAGAATGAAAGCATAAAACTACATAATGTTTAGAAATATAAGTCAGTGATAAATAATGTTTTTGACTTTAGTTTAATTGTCAGAAACAAATATTTTAAAGAAAATTTAAGAATGTGTATATCGTTCATTTGAACAATTCAAAATTATGACATTTTTGGAACGTGTCAACTATATTTTTCTGCTGCAACTAAAGAACTAAGTCAACACAACTAAAACGTTGGATTTTTAAGTAAGATATTATAATTTTCTCTAATTTACTGCTGTCATTAACAGCTGACTTTCTCAATGACATATCAATTGCAATCAGTTTCATGTGTAGACGTTTTTTCTTAATATAAATATCTAAATGGACATCATTGCTATGATATTCTTAATGTCAATTCATTGTACTGATCAGGAGGATTATTTTGGCACTTGATAAAGTTACTCTATAGCTTTACATTGAAGTTTTAAAACTGATATTATTATATATCGCGCAATATAATACTAATGCTGCGTTCACATTAACATTAAAAACCACTCGTTTTGGGATAAACTTTTTTAACATGGTTCCACTGGGTTTACACTTTTTTGATATTAGAATTATCCAAGACTTTTTTCGATAAAAATTTGAAGGATTGTTCTTTTTTGTATCCATATTTATTTAATTTTGATGTTTTTTTTTAAAAAAATTATCACCTTGATTTTTGGGTTTTTTAACAAAATGTTTATTTAATAATTTTGATTTGAAATTTTCACTGTTAGGAATTTGGTCTAGGAATATATTATTCGTAATTCGTCAAAAATTATGTTTTCCAGTTAGATTAAGTTCCACAGACTGTTATAGAGGTTAGAAGAAGTTACAGAAAAATATAAAAAGTGGAAAATGGCGACTCATAATGATATGAAGACTTGCCATAAATTCCTCATTCCCGAATAGTACTAATATACAATTTGAGATATCTAAGTTTAATGCGTTTAATCGTTCTTAATGATCTTTGGATAGATCAAAATAATAGAGTTATACATTTTTCTAAGCTAGACAATTACATAGAAGATGAGATATCGTAAATATGACAACTTGTATATAAGTCGTTAAATAGAAGACCGATGAGACTTGCATGATCTCTAGACGACTTAACAGAGAGACATAAAGAAATAGGCTGATCTAGTATCGCGTATTCTAAGTCTCGGAGACCTTGTAATAGTGAAATTAATAACGGTCCCAAGCTCTATCATTGCATATTTCATAAATGTGGATTTCTGCCTGGAAGCTAGTGTTGTGATTAGATAAACGTTGATATATTTCTGTTTCTGGATCATCAATATCGAACCCACTTTTAGAGCCATCCGTCTAGCAACCGCTTGACCAAGATATTCTGGGGGGTGTGATGTACTTCGCCAAAAACCAAAACGCGCGATTTTACCACAGCATTGTTGTTATAAAAAATAACAACCACATGACAACTTCTGGAATCAGAGTTTCATGCCCTGTCCAGTAACGGCAAACTTAAAGATTCCACAGCTCAGGAAATTACATAGAATACGAGATCTTCTCTCCTACAGATCTCTATCAACAAATGTACATATGTGTCCTACATATATGAATGTGTCCTGCATAATCTCCAAATCTACAGTGACCTGTGATGATGGAGTTTAGACAACTTAACAGATAGACCTTAAAGATGGTCTAATCTAGTATCATGCATTCAGTGCTAAGCTATCATAGATTTTAATATACCACAGTAATGGTCAATATTTGGATTTATCCAGCACCATTCCTACTCTTGTCAATTTATCAGCAATGAATCATGTTGACCCATAGAATGTCTCGTCATCTCTTTTAAGAAGAACTTTTGATATGGAATACGCTGCTTAGATATCAATATAAATTCTGATATCCCTAGTCGAATTACAATAGTACATAAGACAATTCGTTATCCTTTTGAGCGCTGGTATTTCAGTTGAAGATTACTACAATCATCATTAAGTTTAAAAGATTTACTGTTTTAGATTGGTCAGTATAGGGCGACAGCTTGGGGAATAATCTTTTCTTCCACAAAGACACAAGAAACCCCAAATTTCTGCTAATGAATGATTCCTCAATGCAATAGTTTTTAGTTTCAAAATGATTAGAAAGAACTTCATGTTTATATGGTTACCGAAAGCAATAATCAATAGTTTCAAAGATGTTAAAGAAGAATTTCAACCATCCTAGTTCAGTTGTCAGTTGCTTGGCTAAGAGGTCTATAACAAACAGTTTTGACCAGTAGACAAGCAGAAGCTGTTAGAATAGAAGACTTTTAAAGACACAAAAAACCGAAAATTTCTGCTAGTGAATGATTCCTGAATGCAATAGTCTTTAACTTCAAAAGGGTTAGGAAGAGTTTCAATAATCCTAACATGAGCATTGGAACAGCCTTTGCATTTACCAGTAGAGCTCTAGACTTAAACAGTAAGCTGTGAACATGGCTAAGAGTTCCACTAGTAGCCAGTTAAGTATAACAAGCTACATTTTAAAGCTTTGGTAATGAGAAGAGTGTAAGTTCTCGTAATATCTTCAAGTACTTAGTAGTATTACACATTGTCAGTTAGTTTGTTATTGCAGCTAAGTAGAATTTGTTCTGAAAGCTTCGGTAATAATAAGACTAGGAGATATGACCTTTATACAATCGAAAGCTTTTAGAATAGAAGAATTTTAAAGGACACAAGAAACCGCAAAATTTCTGCAAATGAATGATTCCTGAATGTAATAGACTTTAGTTTCAAACGGATGAGGAGCTCAGGAGTTAAACTCACAGCAGTGCACATGGCTAAGAGATCCACTGGTAGCCAGTTAAAGCTCCGGTAATGAGAAGAGCGAAAGATCTCGTATCCAGCTAAGTTTATAGATAACAAGCAGCGCCTTAGTAGAATTTGTTTTCAAAGCTCCGTTAATAAAAAGACTGGAAGATCTGACCTGTATACAATGGAAAGCTTTTAGAATAGAAGACTTCTAAAGGACACAAGAAACCGAAAATTTCTGTTAATGAATGATTCCTAAATGTAATAGTCTTTCGTTTTAAAAGGGTTAGGAGCTTAGGACTTAAACGAAGACTAGTGCACCTGGCTAAGAGGACCGTTGGATAGATCTTAAAGCTTCGGTAATGAGAAGAGCAGAAGATCCCGTAACATTTTCAATTAATAGCAGTGCACATTGATAGTTACTTTGTTAATAGGTCCACTGGTACAAGCATCGTCTTAGAAGAATTTATTCTCAAAGTTCCGGTAATGAGAAGACTGGAAGATCTCGTAACCATTTCAAGAAGTAGAGGATTTGTGTTTTAACGCAATCTAATCATTCTCGCATTATCTAGTTATTTTTTAACTTTAAGATATATACACAGTTTTCATACAAAACATTTTTTTAACGCGAAGAATAAGTTAAACGATAACTTGAGGTGGTGAATCCCCACCTGACATGATTTTCTTAATTTCAGATAATAATTCAGTTAATGGAAATGAAAATTGTAAAAGATAAAGTTTTTATCACTTCAAATTTATTGAAAAACACTACACATTTCAGAAAATGTTCAATTATATTTTTGAAAACTATATTACAGATTTTTTGGAAATTTATCAAATTTAACTGTTAATTGCCGATATTCAGATAGAAAATTTTGAAAAATAATTGAAAATTTAAGTAAAATCTAGGAATTTTACTGAAATTTTAATAAAGTTTTTTTAAAATTTTATTTGAGAACTATTTTTAAGAAAATTTTCAATTTCTTTTGATTTGAAAAGACAAAAATTTCATAAGATTTTTCTAATATGACAGGCAGGCAGGAACGCTAGACTGTTAATTATCCAATTATATTTTTGAGATTTTTAAATAACTTTGCAAAATAGCTGTTAATTTTTCACTTTTTAGAAAATTTTTCACACTTTGTCCAATTTTTTAAGATGATAATTTCAATATTAGCAAATAAACTAATTATATTTTTCGGATTTTACAATTATTCTTGAATTGTTTTAATAAAATTCACGATTTTTTAATAAAATTTATTTATAATTTTATAAATTATGATAAAATAAATATTTTAAACATTTTCAAAACTTTTTTTAAATTCTTTAAGATGAAAACTTCAAGAGAAGTAATTTTAGTTTTTAATTTTATTAAAATTAATTTATTTTATCGATTTATTTAATTTTAATTTCAAGAAAATATTTTAAAAAAATTTTAAATTTACTTTTGAGAAAACGTTTTTTCATTGGAGATTTTTTTAAATTTATCGTAAATAGATTTTGGAATTTTTTTTTCACCATTTTTTTTAATTTATTTATGTTTTCATATTAAACTTTATTACTTATTAACGTTTATTTGTTTCATTTCACAGATTTTAATTTCAATTTTTTTTTTAAGTTTTCACTTAAATATTACCCTTTTGTAGTTTAAAGAGAATTCCACTAATTTTTTTTTAAATTTCTTCAAAATTTGATTAAATTAATACAATTCAAATTTTTTTATTTTTAATTTTCTTATAAAATAAATATTTGTTTTTAAATTTTTTTATGTATTATTTTTTATTAATTCTTTTAAAATTTTATCTTAAAATACTTATTATTTTGATAGTTTCACTTTTTCTTTACTTTTATATAAAAAATAAAAATTCTTTATAAATTTCTTTCATCTTTTATAATTATTTTTCTAATTAGAACTTATTTTAAATAAACACTTTTCTCAATTTTTACCTTTTCTTTTATTTAGAAATTTAACGTTTTTCTATTCGTTTTCTTATATTTTGCTTAAATTTTCATAAATTAAAGTAAATTTCTTTTTTTTTTATTAAACACACACAAATTCTTTTCTTTTTTTTATTAAAGAGATTTATTTTCTGTATATATTTATTCTTCTTGATTTTTTTTCTACTTGTTTTGTGTGCTTTAAACACCCTTAAAACTTTAATAAGAATTATAATAATAAACGCGCGCGTAGCATTAACATACGTTTTCGTTTAACGTTTATTTCGGCCTGAATCCAACTTGCGATTGAAACGGTGACAATGCAGACAATTTCGTTTGAGCAAAAATTCAAGGAGTGTTTTGTTTCACTTGCCACTTTGTTTCGCCCTCGCACAATATACACAAGAATATACACAACACAACTTGGTGTGTTGAACTTGCGCATTTTCGCCTTTTAGGGGTTAAAAATAAACACAACAATAATAGTGAGAGTAATTCTCTTAAATTATCATATTTTTTTTTCTTTCGTTTAACACTTATTTTCGCTCTTTATTTTGTTATTTTTGTTTCTCTATTTATATTTTTCTGATATTTCTTTAGTGTTCTCTTTTCGTTGTATTATTGTTTTGATTTTGTTGTTGCAGTGTTGTTTTCTTTATATTTTTTACATGAAATCACCTTATTTTCCACATGTTCCAATTGTTTTTGGCTAATAATGGTAAAAATGTTTGTTGTTGTTGTGATAAATATGTTTGACAGGCATGGGAAATTCCATACAATGGTAATTTTTAAAGACTTTTTGACACATAATAGCATGTACTTACCCAACTTAATCACTTTTCAATAACTTAACTTCTTATTAGCAAGCGATCGTGATAAGTACTTATTTAACGCCCTATTTGTAAGAGAGCATGGTAAGTACTTGCCTTCAATGACATCACCTTGTTAATTTATATAGACTTGTACATAATCTAGTCTATAGACTATTACAAAGATTAGTTTATAGACTTGTCTAAAGACTAGATATTAGACCAGTTAATAGGAGAGACTATTGACTAGTTAAAAGACTATTCCCTAGACTTGCCAATAGAATGGTCCAGAGTATAACTAATAGTCAGTAGACTTGTCGATGGAAAGCTCAATCGACTCGTCCATAAAATTGTCAATCCACTCACAGACTTAATAGACTAGTACATAATAGACTAGTACATAAAGCAGTCAATAATCTAACGCAGATACTAGTCAATAAACTAAAATAATTCACAGACTCGTCCCTAGGCTAGTACAAGATTAAATCATAAACTAGTCTACTGACTAAACCATAAGCTAGTCCATAGAATCGACTAGGAGAATAGACTAGTAAATCAGTCGACTAGTGCATAGATTAGACAATCGACCAGTCAATAGATAGGCCCATTATCATTAGACTAGTCAATAAAGTAGTTTAAAGACTAGTCCACAGACTAGGATTAGAGATTATTCAATAAATTAGTCAACGAAATAGGTATAGGAAACATGGATTAGTTCAAAGACTACGCAATAAACTATTCCATAGACTAATGTATCACACTAACGAGAGAGTTAAGAGCGAGAAGCTAAGAAAGACGTCCTTTATGTGTGACTATCTCTGACACGTGTTTTTAGCAAAGCTTTTCGCAAGGACTCCGATGCATTTGCAAACTTCTTTGTAATAGTAACAGTTCCATTATAAGTGATACGGGGGACTTGGCATGAAGGTCTAAAGTGAAAATGTTTCACTGTTAAATTGGCAGCGCTTGGGACGTGAAAATGACAAGTAGCAAATTATAGTTCAATGACAGTACTCTTTGAGCGTCACTGAAGATGTTCACAATCAAATCGTTTTGGGTACCAGGACACTGTAAAGTACAGACTAATAAGATGGCAGATGTTATGACCAGGCGATGTTTCTGGCACACAAATAGCGATTGCAGGGCACCCTAGGTCATGTGGCAAAACTTGGAAACCAAAGTACTACTTGGATTGGAAAGGAATAGTGTAAGGATGGAAGTAGAACTAATAATGGGTCACATTCGGTTAGTAAGCAATAAGGTATTAAAAGCTTCAGCTCCTCTTGTACAAGAAGCAGAAGACGATGTGAACCTCCTTATTCAACGAGACCCAATAAAGAGGTTTACAAATAGACCGAAATAGTACACCTCGAATCGCAAGCGATTGTATCAAGATGAAGAATTTGGATTATTTATATATCAGAAAACTTAATCACCCCCTATCGCCAATCAACATTTCACGTGAAGTATGTTCCCTTTTCACTTTTTTCATTCACTAACTTAAATGTTGATAGAATTTGGTAAACATTGAACAGCTGTTGCATACAAAATCAACTATTGTGAATGAATTGTTCATAACAAGTTCACGATTGCAATTTTACCTTCGAGGAGAATGAAAATTTCAAGAGAATAAAAATTTCACATCTATTGGCGATAGAGGTATTCCTGCTGAAATGCCTTCGTTCGAGTCACCCTAAACATCAAATTCGGATGCAGACATCTTCGAATGGAGGCTATTGCAGCGATATCATAACATCTGAGTACGACGTATTGTCAGAATACCTTGAATCACATGGCGGTATTTGAGGCCATTGATATATTGCTACAGATGCAAAAGAGTCCAAACTTTGGCACCCCAGTAGGATCTAACAATTGCTCTATGGGACTTAAATTTGGTCAACTGATGAAATGATTTCCAAATGACTAATGACGGGTGAGGCAACGGTTTAAAGTACCTGGAACAATTTGTACGCTGTAGTAGTTGAAAAACCCTACTGCAGTCTTGGAGGGAAAATCCCGGCATTCAAAAACTATATTAGTACATTTAAGGGCCGACTGGTGCAATTTTTGCAACTACTACAGCGAACAAATTGTTCCAGGTACTTTAAATCGTTGCCTCGCCAGTCATCAAAGTCATTTGGAAATCATTTCATCAGTTGTCCAAATTTGAGTCCCATAGAGCAATTGTGGGGAGCTACTGAGGTGGCTTTCGGCTACAGTTGAAATATTACTTAACGGTCATTGAGCTAGAAGAATGGTCATTAAATTTGTGTTACTTGTTAGAATACAGAGTCTAAGGGAGAAATAATGACAGAAAAGATTCGATACCTGACCTAGGCAACCTTCTAGGCTTTATCAGGGGAAATTTGTGGTTATTGTTGTGGTTGATTATGGGAATTCTTTCAGATTCAACTTTTATACACTACTTTTGATATGGAAATTCATTACTTTACACAATCCCTTTAAAGCTAGACTAACATGCTTTGGTCTTAAATTAGGGAGTATTTTGTCCTTTGAAAACTACGAGATATAGCTATTTTGGCAATAAAATAGTGCAAGGGCTCTTTCTGTGTCCTTGGAAATCATTAAATGGCATTGCAACTTACTTTTGTTCATATCATCATATCCGCTCTTATTGGAAATTATTTTATTCTTACAATTAGAAATATTCTCCGTGTTTATACAATTCCCTGTTTATTGTTTCCATTCTAAAACAGTGAAAGAAAACTGTTTTTGTTAATAATTATTTCACAATCTGCAACAATTCAATTTTGGCGAAATCTTAATCTTTTTGTTTATATTTTAATTTAAAATTTTCTTTTTATTGACAAACATTTTATTCAAATTGTTTACAAATATAAAACAGTGTGAACTTTGATATAAATTTTCTTTTAAGTTTTAAAATAAATGGAAGTGTTTTTTGTATAGTTTTCCCTCATTTCAATGCTGAATAATTAACTGGCAACCCTTTAATAGTGGATTCTGTTCAAAACAATAACAAATCAAAGAGACCAATAATTGCACTCTCAAATTTACTGCAAAATTCTTTGCATATTTTTTACTCTCTTTCTCTTCCTCTGCATAAACGAAGAAAAATAAACGAAATTAAACACACACACAAACTATTGAACCAGCAAAATCATACAGAAAATCAATGCAAAACACAATAATTATTTAAAAAACCGGTAAATTGATTTTTTTGGTTGTTGTTGTTTAAAACAACAACAAAATAATCCATAAATTTTATGCACCAGTTAATGTATTTGTTCTTGCAATTTTATCGCTTTTTTATGCACCAACAAAACAAAAACAAACCCCAAATAAGATACCAAAAAAAAAAAATAACAAAGGCGCTGTCTCTTTGTTTTTGTTTATTCCTTTTTATACTACCTTCACATACACACGCACATGTTTTATCCCCATTTACTCTTTAATTTTACATTCTTTACAAATTCGATTTTTCACCAAAAATATTCCAATTTCCTTGCTGCTGCTGTTTTTTTTGCGGGGGGACGACAGCAAGAAAATTTCTTTTTTGCCACTTTTTTTCTTGTGGCCAACAGTTTCACTTTAGAAATTTTCAATTAAACTTATTTTGCTTACATTTAATTTCACTTGTCTAGGAAAGCGGACATGTTGCGGCTCATAATTGTGTAAAATTTACACATTTTTATGTAGATTTTTGCACCAAATTTTTAAACACAAAAACACACACCAATAAAATTCACGTCTACGTTTAATTGTAACAGAGATGTGGAAGTAATCTGTCATTATTGGCAAACATAACATGTCTGTTTTTAAGAAGTTAACAGTAGAGCAGGGTTGTAACAGCAGGCAGAAATAAAATGTTAACAGCGTTATCTACTTTTGAGTTTTTCAAAAAGGCGTTAAAATTAGTTGGTTGGTTTGTTGAGTAGTTAGTTAGTTAGTTAGTTAGTTAGTTAGTTAGTTAGTTAGTTAGTTAGTTAGTTAGTTAGTTAGTTGTTAGTTAGTTAGTTAGTTAGTTAGTTAGTTAGTTAGTTGTTAGTTAGTTAGTTAGTTAGTTAGTTAGTTAGTTAGTTAGTTAGTTTCGTTAGTTAGTTAGTTAGTTAGTTAGTTCGTTAGTTAGTTAGTTCGTTAGTTTTTCGTTAGTTTAGTTAGTTAGTTCGTTTAGTTATTCGTTCGTTTAGTTCGTTAGTTATTCGTTAGTTAGTTATTGTTAGTTAGTTAGTTAGTTAGTTAGTTGTTAGTTCGTTAGTTCGTTAGTTTAGTTAGTTCTTTATTCGTTCTTAGTTCGTTCTTTAGTTCGTTCGTTCGTCGTTCGTTCGTTCGTTTCGTTCGTTCGTTCGTTCGTTCGTTCGTTCGTTCGTTCGTTCGTTCGTTCGTTCGTTCGTTCGTTCGTTTCGTTCGTTCGTTCGTTCGTTCGTTCGTTCGTTCGTTCGTTCGTTCGTTCGTTCGTTCGTTCGTTCGTTCGTTCGTTCGTTCGTGTTCGTTCGTTCGTTCGTTCGTTCGTTCGTTCGTTCGTTCGTTCGTTTCGTTCTTCGTTTATTCGTTCGTTCGTTCTTCGTTCGTTCGTTTCGTTCGTTCGTTTCGTTCGTTCGTTCGTTCGTTCGTTTTCGTTCGTTCGTTCGTCTTCGTTCGTTCGTTTCGTTCGTTCGTTTCGTTCGTTCGTTCTTTCGTTCTTCGTTTTCGTTCTTCGTTCGTTCGTTCGTTCGTTCGTTCGTTCGTTTCTCTTCGTTCGTTCGTTCTTCGTTCTTTCCTTTTCGTTCGTTCGTTCGTTCGTTCGTTCGTTCGTTCGTTCTTCGTCTCTTTCGTTCGTTTCGTTCGTTTCGTTCGTTCGTTCGTTCGTTCGTTCGTTTCGTTTTTCGTTCTTCGTTCGTTTCGTCGTTCGTTGTTCGTTCGTTCGTTGTTCTTTCTTCGTTCTTCGTCGTTCGTTCGTTTCGTTCGTTCGTTCGTTTTCGTTCGTTTCGTTCTTCGTTTCGTTCGTTCGTTCGTTCGTTTCGTTCGTTCGTTTCGTTTCCTTCCTTCCCCCCCCGTCCGCCCTTTGTTTTTCCTCTGCCCTGCTTTCTCCGTCCTCTGCATTCCCTTCTGGTCTTGTGTGCCGTTTTTTTTCTCTTAGGCTCCGTATTCTCCCCGCCATCTTTATGTGAGAGTTAAATACAATTTAGAATTGAGAATCCTTCATTTGAGTTGTAGATGGCAGCATTGTAAATTAATTTAAAATGTTCACAAATTCTTTCTAAATACTTACATGTTACAAACAAACAGTTTTAAATTACAACATTATTGTTATTATATTTTCAATTAAATATAAAATTTTATTAATTCAAATTTACAATATATAATATACAAGGGTTTTATTTAAATACTGGGTTTTTTTTTTTTCAAAAATATGTATAATAATCTTAAAACTATTAAAAAATTGTGAAAAAGAAAGCATAAGTACATAATTTACTTAATATCATGGATAAATATATAAATTTAACAAAATTTATTTACATTTTAAAACAAGAAATAAACAATCATACTGTTATTGGCCAAATAAATTTACAGTGAATAGCATAAGTTATTGTAAAAAGTAATACCAAACGAAAACTGTCTTTAATCCACTTGCTTACTCTCATCTCGGGTCTTACGGAATGAAACGGAGTGTATTAAGAGTGGTGGCAAAGCTCCTCTTAACATTTGCAAACGTTTACTCTTCTCTTTCTCAGGTCTTCGCACATCTTCGCGAGACGACGAAGTGGAAGGTGTAACATTACCACTTGCCAAAATTTCGGTACTTTGTGATATCATAGCTGATTTACGGAAATACCGGGGCATAGAATAATCCACCGAATTAAGTTTGGCCTCATTAGCCGTCTGTATGGAATATAAACTCTGTGACACTCTATACTTCTCAATGGTAGGAGTGTCTTCGTAATTTTTAGGTAAATTACTGAAAGAAATAGATGGTACTTCTGGTGTCATACTAATGGTATTGCCCGAGCCAGTTATGGAAAAGATATCAGTTTCACTGGCTGCCGCACGTACATTAAAGTGCGGCACACTCTTGGCGCTACGCAATATTTTTCGAGGTGTAGTACCCAATGCTGCACTAGGCAATAGATGTGGATGTCTGTCGATTAAACGTGGTCTCAATATAACTTCGTCTACTTCACCCTCGGGTATAACGGTTTCCTCTTCAGCTATGGAATCGAATTTTTTCGGTGACAATGTTTGACTGCCTTCGGGCGAAGAATCGGTGCTTAGTGTAAAGGTTATACGTTTTTCGGGTGAAGTAACTTTACTGGCCTCACTAATGGTCTTTGTAGAATCTGTGTCTGTTAGTTTGGGTGAGTCCAAAGTGTCGCCATTTAAGTTAGCTGTCATGAAAAAAATAGAAGAAAGTTAGAATTAGTGAAGGGTATAATCTTTTCAAATTTGAGTTGGCAACACTTTAATTGGTTTTCAAACTATAAATTAAAAAACGAGCTAATTATACATAATTAAATATAAATAAAATACTTACATATTTTCAAATAAATTTATAATAATTTGTTTAAATAAATTAATAAATATAAGCATTAAAGTCAAAATAATTAAATTGGGATAGATTACTAACTAACTAACTAACTAACTAACTAACTAACTAACTAACTAACTAACTAACTAACTAACTAACTACTAACTAACTAACTAACTAACTAACTACTACTAACTAACTAACTAACTACTACTAACTAACTAACTAACTAACTAACTAACTAACTAACTAACTAACTAACTAACTACTAACTAACTAACTAACTAACTACTAACTAACTAACTAACTAACTAACTAACTAACTACCTAACTAACTAACTAACTAACTAACTAACTAACTAACTAACTAACTAACTAACTAACTAACTAACTAACTAACTAACTAACTAACTAACTAACTAACTAACTAACTAACTAACTAACTAACTAACTAACTAACTAACTAACTAACTAACTAACTAACTAACTAACTAACTAACTAACTAACTAACTAACTAACTAACTAACTAACTAACTAACTACTAACTAACTAACTAACTAACTAACTAACTAACTAACTAACTAACTAACTAACTAACTAACTAACTAACTAACTACTAACTAACTAACTAACTAACTAACTAACTAACTAACTAACTACTAACTAACTAACTAACTAACTAACTAACTAACTAACTAACTAACTAACTAACTAACTAACTAACTAACTAACTAACTAACTAACTAACTAACTAACTAACTAACTAACTAACTAACTAACTACTAACTAACTAACTAACTAACTAACTAACTAACTAACTAACTAACTAACTAACTAACTAACTAACTAACTAACTAACTAACTACTAACTAACTAACTAACTAACTAACTAACTAACTAACTAACTAACTAACTAACTAACTAACTAACTAACTAACTAACTAACTAACTAACTAACTAACTAACTAACTAACTAACTAACTAACTAACTAACTAACTAACTAACTACTAACTAACTAACTAACTAACTAACTAACTACTAACTAACTAACTAACTAACTAACTAACTAACTAACTAACTAACTAACTAACTACTAACTAACTACTAACTAACTAACTAACTAACTAACTAACTAACTAACTAACTAACTAACTAACTAACTAACTAACTAACTAACTAACTAACTAACTAACTAACTAACTAACTAACTAACTAACTAACTAACTAACTACTAACTAACTAACTAACTAACTAACTAACTACTAACTAACTAACTAACTAACTAACTAACTAACTAACTAACTAACTACTAACTAACTAACTAACTAACTAACTACTAACTAACTAACTAACTAACTAACTAACTAACTAACTAACTAACTACTAACTAACTAACTAACTACTAACTAACTAACTAACTAACTAACTAACTAACTAACTAACTAACTAACTAACTAACTAACTAACTAACTAACTAACTACTAACTAACTAACTAACTGAACTAACTAACTAACTAACTAAGACTAACTAACTAACTAACTAACTAACTAACTACTAACTAACTAAATACTAACTAACTACTAACTAACTACTAACTAACTAACTAACTACTAACTAACTAACTAACTAACTAACTAACTAACTAACTAACTAACTAACTAACTAACTAACTAACTAACTAACTAACTAACTAACTACTAACTAACTAACCTAACTAACTAACTAACTAACTAACTAACTACTAACTAACTAACTAACTAACTAACTAAACTAACTAACTAACTAACTAACTAACTAACTAACTAACTAACTAACTAACTAACTAACTAACTAACTACTAACTAACTAACTAACTAACTAACTAACTAACTAACTAACTAACTAACTAACTAACTAACTAACTAACTAACTAACTAACTAACTAACTAACTAACTAACTAACTAACTACTAACTAACTAACTAACTAACTAACTAACTAACTAACTAACTAACTAACTAACTAACTAACTAACTAACTACTAACTAACTAACTAACTAACTAACTAACTAACTACTAACTAACTACTAACTAACTAACTAACTAACTAACTAACTAACTAACTACTAACTAACTACTAACTACTAACTAACTAACTAACTAACTAACTAACTACTAACTAACTAACTAACTAACTAACTAACTAACTAACTAACTAACTAACTAACTAACTAACTAACTAACTAACTAACTAACTAACTAACTACTACTAACTAACTAACTAACTAACTAACTAACTAACTAACTAATAAATAACTAATTAGTCGATGGACTACTCCAAACATTTGCCAGAAGAATAGTAAACTTCGGTAAACTTGTCAACAATTTACCTTATTAGACTAGTCAATATATTTAGTTTGTCAATGGACTATTCAAATACTGGTCCCTTTACTATTCCCTACATTAGTCCATAGACTATATCTAGTTCAGAATATTTACTTTTATGATCCGTAGACCCACAGAATTTTTAAATTTCACAGATTTTAAGTTTTGGTTCGTATTTTGACTTAACCGAACTATTTGAACGACTGTACCAATTACTTATGAATATATGCCATGTGCAAAGGACAATCATTCTTTCTCGATCTTGAATTTGCAATCCTTCTTCGTTATCTTACTTCTAAAAGAGGGCACGAGTAACCCGGAATGTCAGTTTAAGACTCAAAGACTTTAATGTGAAACAGTTGCACAAATTATTATCCAAATATTAATCAAAACTTTATCCCATAATAACTCCATAAAATCTGCTACCTATTTAATAACCCATATTTTTCCATTAATAATTAAATTTCTTTCTATCTTTAATTCACTTTTCTATCAAACGAATAATCAAATCAACCATATTCTAGAATCTAGAATACTTGAAAATGGTTTAATTGTTTTTGTTACCAACTATTTGTGCGCCAAAATAACGACAAAAATTATCAACATAAAGATAATCATTTAATAAAATCATTGTTAACTAGACATACTACGTTAGTAGTATACATTGATTTGTAGCCTGTTAGGGTTTTCGGGCAGGGAATCCTGATATTATTTAATAAAAGATAACTGTTTATTTAGAAAAAAAGCAAATTGTATACTTCCACAATAGAATTTTGAACTGAACTAGATCTCAACCACAACTGAACTGAACTAGAACTGAACTAGACTGAACTAGAACTGAACTAGAACTGAACTAGAACTGAACTAGAACTGAACTAGAACTGAACTAGAACTGAACTAGAACTGAACTAGAACTGAACTAGAACTGAACTAGAACTGAACTAGAACTGAACTAGAACTGAACTAGAACTGAACTAGAACTGAACTAGAACTGAACTAGAACTGAACTAGAACTGAACTAGAACTGAACTAGAACTGAACTAGAACTGAACTAGAACTGAACTAGAACTGAACTAGAACTGAACTAGAACTGAACTAGAACTGAACTAGAACTGAACTAGAACTGAACTAGAACTGAACTAGAACTGAACTAGAACTGAACTAGAACTGAACTAGAACTGAACTAGAACTGAACTAGAACTGAACTAGAACTGAACTAGAACTGAACTAGAACTGAACTAGAACTGAACTAGAACTGAACTAGAACTGAACTAGAACTGAACTAGAACTGAACTAGAACTGAATTAGAACTGAATTAGAACTGAACTAGAACTGAACTAGAACTGAACTAGAACTGAACAAGAACTGAACTAGAACTGAACTAGAACTGAACTAGAACTGAACTAGAACTGAACTAGAACTGAACTAGAACTGAATTAGAACTGAATTAGAACTGAACTAGAACTGAACTAGAACTGAACTAGAACTGAACAAGAACTGAACTAGAACTGAACTAGAACTGAACTAGAACTGAACTAGAACTGAACTAGAACTGAACTAGAACTGAACTAGAACTGAACTAGAACTGAACTAGAACTGAACTAGAACTGAACTAGAATTGAACTAGAACTGAACTAGAACTGAACTAGAACTGAACTAGAACTGAACTAGAACTGAACTAGAACTGAACTAGAACTGAACTAGAACTGAACTAGAACTAGAACTGAACTAGAAATGAACTAGAACTGAGACTAGACCTAACTGAGCAAGAACTAGGGAATTCAAGACATACTTCCCCAATCATATCAGTTAAACAGATCGGGACAATAAAACCCTATTCACAAAAATAACAAATCAAACAATTACATTCAATTTGTATCGATTTTGTTTCTTTATAAAGAAAAAAAATCGAGTGGTTTGTAAATGTTTTCTATATTTTTTATATTCTTAAACATTTTTAAACCAACACCTTAAAAATAAATAAATAATATCGTAAATCAGTTCAGTTTTTTTATGTGAGATTATTTTTTTTGGAACTCTAGCATTCCAAAGTAAACTTTTTTAAGGCGTTTTTGTCTTAACAAATTTCGTGTTTATTTTTTTGTTGTTATTATTTTTTGCCAATAAAGTTTATTGTTCTTTAAATGTTATGATGATGATGACAAATTTTGTCAATGAGATAAGATTGAAATGCGTTTTATTATTTTATACCTTAATATGTCGTGTATTTATGTTTTTGTTGTTGTGGTGAAAAAATTCAGATACAAATTGTTTATTTACAATTAATTTAAATAAGCTTATAGCTTGGAGAAATGGCGACTTTAATCAATTTTTTTTCGTAAAGAGATAAAAAATATTTCTAAAAAAATATATTTTTTTTTTTTTTCAAAATTTACTTCAAGTGGGAAAATCCAAATTTTTGCATTTTAATATTCCGTTGAAAGCTGTACAAAGATTTTACTTATATAATTGGCTTGAGTGAATGTGATAAAAC